TGCAAAGTTCTCGGCGCCAGACTGGCCGCAAAGCTAGTCGCGGGAGAACTTTCCGAGATATCAAGTGTCAAGGATCTCATCCGCGATTCGGACCGCGTCCCGAAGAATGACAAAAACGCGCAAACCCCGCCTCAGGGAAATCAGTCGGGCGAAAAACGCGGAAGAAGAACAGACGAGAAGGGTAACGATGCTAACCGCCAAAAAATCAACATGAACATTGGTGAATCGCCATACTTTAACGACACCGTCTTGTCGATAAAATCCTACCAACGTAAAGCCGAAACCGGCTCGAGTTGGAAGGTGCCGATGGACGATTCTCCGACAGGAGTAATCTCTTTCAACGATGCTGAAACCGGCGGAATCGACCAACCGCATGCCGATCCCCTTGTCATCGATTTGGTGATAAGCGATCTAGAGGTTGCGCGAATCCTGGTTGATACCGGAAGCACAGTCAACGTCATCTTCCGCAACACGTTAGCACGAATGGGAATCGACCTCTCGGAAGTCGAGCCGATTCCAAAACCGCTGACTAGTTTCTCCGGCGAAACGTCAATGACCTTGGGATCAATCCGACTACCGGTCGTCGCTAAAGAAGTGACGAAAATCGTTAACTTCGCGGTAGTCGATGTCCCGGCTATCTACAACGTGATTATGGGCACGCCTTGGATAAATTCCATGAAGGCGGTTCTGTCCACGTATCACTTAGGCATCAAATTCCCGACGCCTACGGGAGTCGCAGTAATTTGGGGGTGCCAAAGACAATCGCGATCTTGCTTCCTGGCCGAACATAAGCTAAGGCAATTGGCGGTTGCGATCGTGAAACCAAAACGGGCAAAGGTCACACCACAGCCCGCAGACGACGACCCGAAGCAAGCAACGGCCGAGAAACCAGAAGTTTCCGCACCCATCGCTTCCGCCCAACCGGAGGAGACAATCCCGGACAAAGACATCGATCCCGCGACTGAAGCGATCGAGAAATCTACGACAGCCGAGTAAACACACTCGTGCAAACTCTCAGAACTACGAGATGGCTTGATTTCTGAAAGGAATACGTAGGCAGCTCGCCTAAAGACGAGTTCAGCTATCCCCCCTTCCAGAACGGGGGGGGGGGGGAGTGGGTGAGTATACGAGTGTTCGTATACTCCCGAAATTTTTTACAAAATTTCTCTTAGCTTTGTAATCGAAAACTTTTCGAATTTTTTAATAAAGACAAAGTTAACCTAGGTCTTGCCCTAAACCCAGCACACTGGCGCTAACGTCTCAAGGCATGAATCGAGATCCTAAAGGCATGTCTCTTCGCCCACATCTAAACACTCGCGAAAATCGAAATCTCCCGAGTTAACGAATCGGACGATTTACACCAAAGAGTTAGGTACGAGATGACAACTCGTATTCTTTCCTCTACATCTAACATAAAAAACGAGTTTCATACTTAGAAAATATTTTCTTNAACTGAATCCGGCGACACCACGACGGGATTCCATAGATCCCACATGCGCGCCTTAAGGTCGAAAAATTCGGACTGCGTATCTTTTTCCCGATTCAAATCTTCCCATCGCACTTGGGATTCCTTAGCAAACGAATACCCCTCATTCTGAGTCAGGGATAACCCATGAACGACCCCGCGACATTCGCGATAATCACCATGCGCCCGTTGAACAGCTTCC